AGTATTCATTTTTCTGCCAAATCAAGAATATTACATTTTTTGGGGGGTCCCAAATCTACCACATTTTTTTAAATAAAAGTGTATAGTTCTACAGTAAATGTAAAAAGAAATTGAACTAAGTGACTATTTCATAAATGCAATGACAACTTTCACAGGAAGAAATGGCAGTACAAATTCTATCTGTCTGTAGAAGGTAGAGATTGTATTACGTATCTTGCTGTTAGTGAGGAAAAAAAATCAATATTCCACTAGATGGAGCAAAGTGGCAGTAGCTTTGCAGATGGCAGTATTAGTCACTGGGGCAGGTATAAGAGATTTTGAAATGAAAAAATAACAAAATTTGTGAGAAAAGTCAGTGTATAGAATCCAAGCACCACATATTTATAACTTTCTGAAATTTAAAGAGTATTTATAAAGATGCTACTTAAGCATTAATTTTCTTTCTGGTTTACAAGGCAAGATCATTAGAAATAAAAATAAATCTAATTTATTTTTCTCAGTTTTACCTAATCTGGTCTTATCAGATCCTACACAGATCTATGATGGTTAAGGAATAGAATAAATTGGCAGATTACTATGTATACCTGGCACATACTTCTATCATTTCATTTGCTCTAAAATTTTATTATTTTGAAATAAGAAGTTTTTTTTATCAAATTGTACTTCCTTTCTTAATGACTGGCATAGTGCCTAAGGCATTTGACCAGAAGACTGGGGTTCAAGCCCACCAGCCACTCTTCAGAAAGAAGATTAGGCGATCTACTTCCATAGAGATAACACCTCAGAAACCCAAGGAGGGTTCATTATGAGTTGAATTGACTCTATGGTAGTGAGTTTGGTTTTGGAGTTTTTCTTAATGTTTAGAGCCTAATAGTATTTGAGAGCAGGTAATTTTAGAGTCCATTCAGCCCAATGCTCTCATATCTTAAATTAAGCCAAAAAAGACAAACCCACAGTCATCCAGTTGATTCTGACTATGTCATAGAGACCCCCGTTGGTTTTTTCCATGACTTTGGTAGCGTAGTGCCTAAGGCACTTGACTGCTAACCAGAAGGCTGGTGGTTCAAACCCACCAGCCACTCCTTGGAAGGAAGATAGGGCAATCTACTTGCGTAGTGATACTGCCTCGGAAACCCAAGGAGGGGTCACTATGAGTTGGGTTCGACTCCAGGGCACTTAACAACAACAACAACATAAATCTTTACGGAAGTAGATTGCCTCATCTTTCTCCCAAGGGACAGCTGGTGGGTTTGAATCGACCTTCTAGCTAGTAGCCAAATGACTTACCCACTATGCCACTGGAGCTCCTTCCCTGAGATACTGAGAAGTTAAGACATATCTAAGGCCACATTTCTTCTCTCAGTGGTAAGTAAATTCAAACCAAAATGCTTAACCATGAATTAGTTTTGTAATTCTCTGCAAATAATGTTTATTCTAATTTATTGATTAATTCTTAATCTAAACATTATACATGAACTAAAAAAAATCTGGGGTTCAGTATTATAGTAGCAGTTTAGTACCATAACAGCTTTTTACAACATTCATAGCACAAATTTCTAATGGTGTCCAAAGAAAATGTTATACAAATTATATAAGGAATAATCTCATCTAGGTAGAGAAATAAGCTATCTTTCATTTAGTGAAAGATATGCCTTAAATCTAAGTGAAAATTGCTATTTTGGGAAACTCATGCAGAAAATATGAAGATGGAAGGAAAGCTACATTTAAGAGGATTCTAACGTCTCCTTATATTTAGATCATTTTTCTGGCCTAGCATTGAAACCTAACAACAGAAAAGGATCTGTTATTTGATAATGCAAAGCCCCTGTGATATCCAATATTCCATCTCCACGTGATAAAGTAAGCTTACTATATAATACATGTTATATATTTCTCTCCCCACAGGATGGGGATTAGAGACTTGAAGTTTGAATTCCAGAGTACAGAGTCATAGGCTGAGAGGAGGGGGCAAAGGCATTGGGGGGAGAAAAAGGAAAGTGCTTTGGTTTATGATTCAAGGTCTGGTGGCAAGGTTTTTTAAAATGTAGGTGCTCTTTCCTGCAATCAAGGGCTTTGCAGAGCCTTTCCCATCTGTATCATATGGGTGAATTGTTTTTAGTTGTGAGCATTCTATGCTTATTTTATATATATATATATGTGTGTGTGTATATATATATATATATATGTACATAATGGAAGAGGATCATATGAATCTTGCTGATAGAATGATAGAAGGCAGGGAATATAACTTCCACAGCTTCTCCCCACTTTCTCTTTGCCTTAGGGAAAGTTTGGCATCGGGCTAAGTGTGGAAAAAAAGTTTTGACTATAGCATGTCAGGCATATTTCAGCTCGATTTGTGTCAACCCTAATAAGTCAGTTGACAGAATAATAAATTGGTTGTCTGCTCATGATCTGGCACCTGTACAGGAAATAAAGTATTTCATTTGCAGGCAGGTTCTCTTTGTTTTATAGTGGAAATTTTTCAGAGACCTTCTTTCTTTCTTTCCTTTTTTTTTTTGAGATTTTTAGTATCTTAATGCCTATTTCAACTGGAACTGACAAGGCAGATAGCAACTTAAAACTACAGATATCGTACTGTTGGGTCTTTTAAGAGGCAGCTGATTATGCTTACCATGTTCAACAATTCATCCTCAGTCTTGTCTGGCCTCTAGGAGGCTCTGAATGTGAATCTGTTGAATGATTGAATGAATCCATGAATTCATCTGCTTTGACACCATGAACTAAAACTTACATTAGAAGCTGTAGATTATTTCAAGTTTGTGTTGCATCTTCTAAGTTTTCATTTTTCTTTGTGGATCAGATTTTTTCAGAGTAGTGGTTCTCAACTCCCTTCTGTAGACATTTGGCAATGTCTGAAGACAACTTTGTTTTCACACTTGGAATAGGCAGTGGTGTTACTGGTATCTAGTAGATGGAGGTCCAGGATACTGTTAAACATTCTAGTTTGCACAGGACAGCCCTTACCACAAAGGGTTATCTAATAGACAATGACAATAATGATGATGTTAAGAAGCTCTAATCTAAATAAATAAAAGCTGTCAACCAAGCTAACAAACTGTAAAATAAAATCTCTTCCATCCCCTTATTTTGACAAATATATCTTGATAACAATGTGAAAGGCAGGTTTTATATTCCAAGTTCTTGGATTCCTTGAAAGTCCAGAACAGTGTGGGAGCCCATTGCCTGTCCTCTCATGAAGGACCTCACACACATGTGTGTGGATATCACAGACTACTTGTCAAGCTCTCTCTACATGTCTAAAAACAGCCACACTTGTCCTCTGCTAAGGGGCATTCTGGCTGTATACCCTCCAAGACAGACTTGTTCATTCTTGCAGCAGTCCACGGTGCATTCAATATTCTTTCCCAATACTACAATTCAAATGCGCCAATTCTTTTGTTGTCTTCAGTATTCATTGTCCAGCTGTCACATGCACATGAGGCTATTGAAGAGACCATGGCTTTGGTCAGGTGCACATTAGTCTTCAAAGTGATATCATTGTTCTTTAACACTTTAAAGAGATCATTTGCAGCAGATATGCCCAATGCACTACATTCGTCATTTGATTTCTTGACTGCTGCTTCTATTTTACTTGATTGTGGTTCCAAGTAAAATGGACTCCTTGACAACTTTTGTCTTTTCTCTACCTAGTCTTTAATTTTAAAGTAGAAAGAACAGTAAAATTAAAGGTTCATATCTCTTAAAGATCTAGTAGCATACTAGTACATAGTCACTGGCCCGGTAACAGGAAATGCTGTTATAATGATAAATTTTAATGATACACTAATTTGAGTTGCTTCTTCAAGCTTTATCTGAAATTGGAATGGTTAACTTTTTGCTGTTTCTGGCCACAAATTTGTTAGTGGCTTATAAATAAATCTTTACTAGATATAATCAGCAATTCATTTTATATTTTAATGATAAATAGAGAAGAAAAAGTCAACTCGAACAAATTTAGAAAAGTGAAAAAACTATCTTGACTGTCAATGTTGATCATAGAATATTTAAAAGAAAATAAATTAGACTTTAGAACACTGAATTATATTATGTATAATTCTGAAAGTTGTTGAAGTAAGAATTTTAAACTGGTAGCAAGATACAGTTTTTTTTTTTTTTTCATAACAATTGTTTATTTTAGCTAGGCTTATATACTTTATTTCTGAGAGTTATTCCCTTACTTCTTGAAAGCTCTAGTTTATATTCCTTACAAGAATTATAAAATGCTAAAATAATCCAAAATGTGGTACTAAATGTGAAATCTAAAAACATTAAAAGTGTATGTATCTGTGTGCATGTGTGTGTGTGTGTGAAAGAGTAAGCAAGGGAGAGAGAATAGAGTTATACAGAAAAAACTTTAATCTGAAAGCAATAGTAAGGAATTAATGCATTTTATCAAAAGTTTTCAATGCATTTTAAAAAAATTCTACCAATAATTTTCTACCTTTTGTGTATCCTTCATAAAGTGCCTTCATTGTGTTTTTATTTGTAATTACAATCATAGAAACTAATCTTCCTAATCCCAATGAAATTAAGAGGACAAACAGCTAACATCCATGAAACCAAAGGAAACATGCTTATGAAACAAAAAAGAAACATCACAGGCATAGTTTTGATAGCAAGGAAATTGAACAATATGAAGTAAAGTAGAAGGGAGAAATTATTTACATATATATATATATATATATATACATAAATTCATTTTTAAACATTATCTAAAATGTTGTAGCATAATTCTACATCAGGGAGCTCTGGTGGCGTAGTGAGTAGTAGTCATTTGACTGCTAACCAGAAGGCTGGTGGTTCAAATCCACCAGCCTCTCCTTGCAAGGAATATTGGGCAATCTATTTCCATAGTGATACCACACCGGAAACCCAAGGAGGGGTTGCTGAGTTGGATCTGACTTGATGTCAGAGAATGTTTGGTTTTACATCTAAAATTGGTTGTAATCTTTGTTTCTGATTTTTTTTTTTTCCAGTCTGTTTTTCAGGAGCATTGAACTGACCAGTTACATTTATATCTGGGAGAACTATAGACTCTTCACTTTGCCTTGGGATTCCATATATACTTGGTATTTGACCTTCTTAGGAGTTGATTTTGGCTACTATTGGTTCCATCGTATGGCCCATGGTAAGTTGCAAATCAATGCCTTAACTGATAATTTATGTTGAACTGTGTTTGGCACATATTAGGTGCTCAGTGAATATTTGTTGAATGAATTAATTGGTGAATTAAATAGTTTATTTTACAGAATATTAAGATTAATAAAAATTTACTTTGAAATTTGAGTGGAAACAATTTAAAGTCTCTAAAAATAGATATAAAATTATTGGACATTTTTTTTTTTTTATTAGGATTTGGATGAAGATTTACAGAGTAAATTGACTTTTCATACAGCAGTTCACATATATTTTGTCTCATGTCATTGACCAAAATTTACAATGCAGCAGCTCCC